AAGTTGACCAAAGCTGCTCTGATGGTTGGCATCAAGTTGGATTTGGAAGCCGAGGTTCACTTGACTGCCCGTGTCCGTGGTGACATCCTTGTTGGTTTATACTAAATTGCCCGTGGTCTACGACGAGAAGTGCACCCACGAAAATCGCAAAAAGTGGCCAGTCACGAGGAGGTCTGTCCGTCAAATGGTACAGAACGACACGACATTGCCCTTTGGAACAAGTCAACCTTTGCTTCATAGGCATAAGTTGCCCCGAGTAAGTATGGCTCGGGTTTGGAACCGGTATAGCAGGAAATGGGAGACTTTGCATTTTGTGTGAACAGTAAAGACTATTTGAATCAAGCCGACGGGGCGGCGATCCTTTCCAGAGACAAATATCGAAGTTTAGCAGTCTACAAGCATAAACAATAAACTGACCGAGCGTTCAGGACTAGTACAAATGTGTCCTGATCGAACATAAAGAAATGTATAGCCTCAAAGTCTATCTTTGACAACCTTGCCTAGGCACATGAAATGAACCACTTGGGCGCCTTTGGCAGCTTCGCAAGCTGTGCCGAAGGCCAAGCAAAATCACCCAATATTGCCCGAAATTGATCCTGTCCTTTACTCGTATCGCTAACATTTAACGATTTAACTCAATCGTCTGTTATCCGCTTCCAGAAGAATGACTAGAATGAAAGTTGAATGATCTACTCTCCAGTTTTGAACCACGAAATTCAGGACCGCATGTGGTGACTTAGATACTTAGTGACCTGCATGTTGCTTTGGAGTATCCACCATGATCTGGCGCTGTTTTGCCCATTCAACGATGCGATCATACTTGGGACACCTATGCTGGGAGTTGAAGTCTGGCTGAATACCCCGAGAACCATTAATGTGCAAGAACGGGGTTACATCAGCCGAGCACTGCAGTCGTATACGCAATGCCTCGATACAGTGATCAACATGCTGTAGAAGTCAGCTCCGGTAGCAAACTAGTCAATTTGTCCAGTCGGTCACTCAATGCAAAGTTTTGGACTTGGGGAGCGCTTACGGCAAGCACAAGTTCCTCCCCACCGTGAAAGGCCGGATCGTCGCTATAATTGTATTCGGATCTGTGCACAAACTGACGTACGAGATTCAAGCAATGAAGGTTGTGGAAAACCTCGAGGCCAGCCAAAAGATAGCCTGGCTTTGTGCGTGCCCAGGAGTCACCGCTGTTACCATGTGATGTCTTGTTCAATGCTGGTAAATATTCATCCGATAAGTCAAATGATCCATCTAATACCAATCTGGATCAGTAGCTGCCATTTTGAAATAGACTTGGGGTCGTTTGTGCAACTTACAATACCACAGATCCTTCCATTTTGCTTCCAACTCTGGAGTCGGCCTTCCTTTATAAGGACTGGTCTTCCAGAATGCATTGTCAAACTGCACATCTTCGTATTCCAAAATGTCTTGAACGGGTGCTGTGTATCTCATGAGTCTGGGACTCAATCAATCGTTCTCAAAAAGTGTGATGCTGGACTCACACCAAACATTAAGCTTTCTGACGCATTGCAAATCCGATGGTCCTGATGGGTTGAGATGGAGCCAAGTTGAGAGCCCAAGAAATATACAGCTTATCCAGAAGAAAGGAAAAGAAAGGGTTTCGAATGAGGTTTTGCTTTTTTTAGTGGGCGGTTGCATGTTATCGTCATCCAAGAAGAATTCCTCTTCTTCTGCTTGGAGGTCTCGTTCATGGCGAGACTGTCCTGTCTTACTGAACACCATTGACGCCGATTTTCAAGAAAAGTGACAATCAAAGTGGGAAGAAAATTGCAAGTATCAATTATCAGGGTGCTCTCTTAAGCTCTGTGGTTGTCCAAAATCCGAGAGCTGACCGTCAGTTAGTTTTCACTGATGTGAAGCGACAGACGAGGGGCTCCTTGCAAATATGACTCGCCATTGGACAGGGCGGATTTCTCTATCTCTGAGACAAGGGGAATTCATGATAAGGAAAATATCATTGAGGCCCGACAGCTGCACAGGATACAATGAGTCAGTTTTCGGCACCGACTAATCGACCTTCTGCATTCGTCTGGTCGGGCGGGTCTAGAAAGCTTGTTTTCTTCCAGCGACACGAATTTGTCTGTTCAAATACGCAGCTGACCAGGTTTCCTTGGAACTGCGCAGCAGCTAACGCGGGTCTCAAAAGCTTGTTTCTCTAGAACTCTAGAAGGAAACATCCAGATGAACCAGTCTCAACCACCAAGTCAACCAATACGGTCAGCATAGATCTCGAATCCTATATTCTGAGCAAGCAATGTATTTTGCTTATGTTAATTCAAACTGCTGGTTCAAGTCACTCTACTGAGTTACTTGAGCCTTCTGCGTGCAGCTCAGTCCATCACCGAAGGTTGTCAGGCACCAAAGTCAATGTGTTTACTCTATTCCCTTCCATTACTCAGATTAAATTCATTTGCGAACTCACCATCGTTCTGATCCCTGTAGGCTCCGCAGCAGAAGTTCCAAACATGTGGGATAACCCATGTCGGTGTACGTGAAGCAATCAGTGACTTCGCGTCATGTACCAGATGGACGTGGATAGTCCGAGAAGTTTCCATGTACTATGGCGTGGATGAATCTTGCGCCTTCCCAGGGTTGGATTAGCTGCAGTGATAACGTGATGGAAATCGCGTTCATACCACGCCTTGGCACGGTTACTTGAGATAAGTGCGCCGATAGCAGCAGGTCGAATTCACTGTTGTTCGCCGTGAGCAAACGGCTATTTAAAGACACTGCCTTTTCATTTCCAAAGAGATTTGTCAAAAAATCAACTTCAACTTCAGTCTCCCCCCAACAAAGAGACACTATGAGGTTCTTCAACGTTCTGCTCCTCGGAGGAGCCTCTTTGATTGTTGCTGCCCCCACCGGTGTTATGAACGAAGAGACACGCGAAGCCAGCATTTCTTTCCTCGAGTCTACGCATTACAAGAAATCTCCCAACGCTGCTGCAGAGCCGGCTCCTGCTATTGAGTTCCTTGACTCTGTTCACTATAAGAGAAACCCCGAAGCCGAGGCTGTGGCCGAACCTGCAACCAACCCTTTGGGGTCTGTCCACTACAAGCGCTCTCCCAAGGCAGACGCCGAGCCATCAATTTCATTCCTCGAATCAGTCCATTACAAGAAGGAGGCAGCGCCTGCAGCTGAGCCTGCGATCGAATTTTTGGAATCTGTCCACTACTAAGTGACAAGGGACGTGCAGCATACCAACATATTCGCTGTGAGTACCTTAAGTCAGATCATGTTTGCCACTAAAGTTCAAGCCAAGGAATCTCAGCTAATTGACTCTAGTCTCAAGTTGTGAAGTACCCCTCGGGCTCCCAAAGTGGAAGCATTAACTGGAAGGATTATCGAGCGATTTTTGTCGACATTTTCTCCAATCTAGTTGTCTACCTAGTCTACATAACATCAGGTGGGAAGGATAGTATAACTTTCTACTTGCAATATCACGACTGTCCTTAAGGTCTCATCGCGCTCACGATCGTAGTGACCTGATTGCGCCTTGGATGTCGTAGATTACAATTGGTATTCCCGCGGGAATATCAGTCAGTGGCTACATTAGCGTTACCATCAGTCAATTGACAGTCTCACACAGTTAAAATGATCATACTCTTGGTGAACATCTAGGCTGTGGTTCAATCGCAACATAATGCACAGATGCCTCCAGCAGTCAAATTTAAGTAAATGTTTATAGTTCAGTGATGAAAATCAAACTTGGCACAACACAATGCCCGATCTACACTCTATATCATCCTCTAGGCCTGAGATTCCTTGCGCGACAAACAGCATTGCACATCCTGGCGTGGAGGTCGAATACAAGGAGGGTTGTGGCTGCAGAGATTCACAATCAAACAACCGTGGTCAGAGCAATAGATTGGACCTGGGCAGCCTTTCCGACTATTATTGTTGCTTGCCGTTTCATCGACCAGATGTGTAGGATTGAAACAAGCGGGATTGTCACATAGGTGTGACACGTGATCATTTGGGTTTCGCTTGTGAAGTTGCGCGTAGGCGACGATGTGAAGGAGGTACGCTCTCGAAGCTTTCCTGCCAGTGAGGCCTTTTTTCGCTTTGGCATTGCTCTTTGTCCATATCTATGGTAGGAGTACGATTAGTGTTTGAAGCTAGGGCAGACTTCTGGGAAGCTAACCTGAGCGTAACCATCTCGGGTGCGACATCCAATTGGAATGTGACAGCCAAGTTTTGTGTCGACTTCACATCTTTTGGCGCGTCTTTTGGCAATCAATGACTTGGCACGAGCCCAGCCAAGGTCGTCCATGATGTTTATACGAGCTCGAGCCATCTTGAACCTGGTACGAGAGAGAAGGATAAAGAAGAGCCGGATATCTAGTCCGTCACGAGAGGATACAATGTCCTCTTTTAAGGTCGGGTAATCGATGATCTTTGCCAGTGGAGCAGGAGCATTCGTTACTCAACTTCGCAATCGATTAAATCCACCTCCCGCAACGCCCGCACGCGGGCCGCCGAATGCACACATCCACCGGGGTTTTATAAAGTAAGGCACCTTAATGATTCACTGAGCCTAGCACAGTATTAGAATATCTAGACAAGGGAGATACTGGGGGGTGGGCCGGAGGTGATCTCGGCCCTTCGCACATCGCTTGGGACGTTCTATGAACCAGTAAGTGATAATCGCTGTTAAATTGTCAACGGCCTCTGTGATATCGTTCGGTGATGCTCATACGACTGGCAACAGCGCGGAGACTTGTGATATTGATATTTTATTAGGATTGACAAGACAACGTACCTTAAACAGGGTCTTCACAAGCCCCAACATGGGTAACACCAAAACTCTATGTTATTAATTGGCAACTTGCTTTTTATTAGGTTTGTTGCTACGCAATTCAATTTTATTCGCCCACAGCGGTCGCTGATGCACAAAGAGGCCTACGAACACTTGAGGTGGTAGTCATGCATGCACTCGCGAACTGCAGCTTCGAAACATCAAAATACGACGGGTAAAGACAATCGATTACTATAATAATAACATATCCTGTACTCTGATGCTCTATGGCATAAAACTTCTGCGATTGATTCCATTGAATATCGTGGTGACCCGATCAAGGCAAGTTCTGGGGAGCGTAGCTTTGGTCAGGGTTTACCGCCTGGCCGTTAACCAGCTGCTTGTCGGTGTAGGCGGGCCAAACAATAAGCTTCTGGTCCGTGACAGAGAAGGTTGTGAATCCCGCATCCGGACCGAACTGTCCGCTCCAGCCGGATGTAACGGAGAAAGCTCCACATTTGGTGTTTGAGGCAGCGCGGCTTGCAGGTGCGCCGGTAGTTGTGAATTTGCAGGCTGTGGGATCTGCGATGTGGGTGTTGATGTTGAAGCTGTAGTCGCAAGAGGTATCCTCGGCATTGCAGGTGCGGGTAAAGCCTTCAATGGTCCATTCCGCGACACCCGCGGCCATCATTGACTTAACCTCACGTTTCGTAACGGGTGAGCCGGAGACGGCAGAGGCAGCAGTCAGGGCTGTGAGGAAGAAGTTGGTGATCTGCATTGTCGCGAGGTCTTGAGGAAACAATTTGGGTCGTATATTAAATTGAGAGGAGAGTGATTGTTTGTAGCTGTCTGCTTGTTTTGGACAACGTGATGTCTTGAGTTGATATACCGTCCGGAGTGGCGGCGGACGAGCGGATTTATACCAGTCAAGACTCAAGGTTGTAGTACTGGAGGCCAACAATGAGTGAGCACAGATCAGTGGTATGACAACAAGCTCGTGGGTACCCAAACGATTGAGAAAGTGACGTTGCCATCGTATTCCCTCTCCCTGCGTCGGTGGACCTTGGACTCTCGCTAAGTTCCCCGTGACTGCCTTCAATCCCCATTTCATGATCCATCATGACAGCAGCTTAGTGCGGATGTGAACCAGCAATGTGTCATAGTCCAGCCAAAAAGTTCCTATGCGGTCATAACAACCTGCCTTCCGGGTCACTTTGATCGCTTAAGGTAATTGCCTATACGCCTCGCGGTTCAGTCAGCCGTCGGTCATACATGGCTTAGAAGCATACGTATCCGCTGGATGGTCCTTCCTTTAGCTACCATTCGGTGGAATGATGGCTCGCAAGACCACTGTACAATGAATCCTCCAATCCATCGAGGCAAGATTCTCGTATTCAGGGTCGCATGCATTCTCATTTCTGACTTGAATTCCAGGCACATGACGCAGGTTATGTAACCTCGATATTAATACGAGCACTATCTGCCGGGGCTAATTAACCTAAACAAGGCACGACTCCACGTTCTAATCTGCTTTCGGAACTCCGATTGCCCCGAGGCTTCATCGCCCCAGAAGCATGCCGCCCCCGCTGATCTACCTTTATTTCGATTGATCATTCCTAGTGTTCCCTTAATCCTATGTTTAGCCACATAGTTCTGACCAACGGTGTGTGATTGATGTTGCCCATTGGATTCATAATTCTCCACCTGCCTTACACTAGAACACAACGCTGAACTACTCAGGTCTTCTCCCTGCAGTCATCGACCGCCAAGCTGGAGTGCGGCACGCAGTTGCCAGTACGCCAAACTGATCGACGAAGCCAGTCTTGCAAACGGCGAGCGAAGGCTTTGCTATCTCCTAGGCAGGCAGGTCTCAGTTTCGTTGATCTGCATGAGCTGACGTTGAACTCTCCCTTGCAAGATCCTCGCATCCTGTAGGACTGTCCGACTGCGGCATCGCTGATCTCCAGGCGTAAAGTACCAATGAGTATGAATATCATAGTCGTAACGCTGCGAGCACATTGTGTGCAGACAGATAGACTCATCAATGTACTTTCACACATGTGACTCAGATGAAATCCAATTCGAACTGCATCGATACATGCAGCAAAATACTTGGATTTCGTGAATTCTGAGCGTCTTGGAACGTGCGCGTGCTGATTACATTTGCGAAATTTCTCGCCGTATTAATAGAAGGCACCCTGGAAATCCGACCAAATAGAACGACGACCCCATGTGTTGCTTGCTAAAGGGCGACGAGGAAAGTCAAGAAACAATGTTTCTTGAACTCGCACGAGTTCTGACTTCCATTTTCAAGGGGGGAATGAAAACTCACATGTTGAAAACAATATTCGTAGCTGATCACGGGGATAAATGAGATTGCCAGCTCATAGATAGGACTCACGTGAATCAGGGTTTCCGCACAAGGCTAGGATCCCTTAAAGTTCAACTTTGACATTCTACATGGTATGCAGTTCTATCGATTAACGTGGGCCTTGAAGGCTGCAGGCCTGCTTATATATACGTGGATACATATTCAAGGAAACGCGCATAACATTGCCTTTCCTATATGCCTTGAGCTGATTGAAATATGAGGATTGAATAAGACCTGCCTGGAGAATTTCAACTATGACTCCTCTATTGTCTTGGGGATGGAGATTCGCTTTGCGGTGCTTGATGCACCTACAGTATCGTGAATTCACTTATCAGATGCCGGAAGTCATCATTTGTGGATCTAAGGTTACTAGTACTCATCACCTTCTTCTTGAGACTACGATCCACAACACGAGTGAAGTTAGAAGTAGACAAATCAAGTCGCGACACCACATACCTGGGGACTTCGTTCATCCACGGTCAGAACATGAAAGTCTTGAGTTATGAGTTAGACTTGTTCTTGCGGACGGCACAACATACGCCGTTCTCGGAGACTGCGAATCTCATCAAGGTACTAGTACCTCCAGCACGTACAGCATTAATAAACGCCTTCTCAATTTCAATCACTAAACTATTTCAGAGACCGACCCTAACCGCCTGCAACCTCGAACCCTACTAATTCCCATCGGAAAGGCACTTCGAGATGTCCGAGTGCATCGGCCTGACCTTCTTATCATCACTGCTCTTCATTGCTCAGGTCTTCAATCGTCTGAACGGGTAGGGAACTGAGTTCGTCAATGACAGTATCCTTGTACAGCTTGGGTATTCTGAGGAGAAAGGGTTTTCACGAGGCAAAAACCTGGATGCATCATTATGTTCCACCTATCTTTCCGAGATATCTTGTCTGCTGCGCCCATCATACTACCCAGCTCCAGTCTTTATATCTCAGACGAATGAACGAGAAGCGACGGGCAAGTCACTCCACAAGTGCGTGTGTAGGGCAGCAAAGTTTCATGTTAGAAAGACGAACTCAGGCGTTTGAGCAATTTTCTTCCTATTCCCGCACCACTATCCTCAACAGGTTAAAAGACTGCGATCTCAACACCTCGAGCCTTAGCAGCTTCTTCTATGTCAAATGTGTCAGTTCCCTCCCTGGATGCTTCCTCAAGGACCTCGTCAACTATATTTATGAGCCGAAATGAGTCTTTCCTCAAGAATGATGACCGCACATCGTCGAAAACCTGCTTCCACTCTGGATGAGTATTTAGAATGGGGACTTCGAGACTGCCTATCACTAAAGGATACATGAGCCCGTTGTGAACCAGAAGGTGGTGGTTGGCAGGCATTTCAACTGCCCTGTATAGTGCGTAAACCGATGCCGCCAAACGACACATGACGACTTCCCTTGACGGGAATGGTGTGATGTCGCCTGACTGAGGTCCCGGCCGATTCTCATCATCGGATGATGCCAACTTTCTTCTACATCGGTACAATCGCCTCACATGTAAGACGGCTGTATACCGCCAGCAGTCCCAAAGCATGCATTGGGCATGCTCACCAATCTCTCCCGGCCAAGTCCAGAGCTGGAATTCTATGTCTCTCGCACTGCTTTCTCTCATATCAGCGAGAATATCTAGTAGCGATCTGGGCAGTCCCGATACGGTCTCTACCCCACCGAGCCTACCGCCTTTCCAAGAATCTTGGACTTTTCGTAGGTGGCGCCAAACATTCATGCTCGGTGTTATTCGACCAATCACCATGATATCCATGTCCATGATAGATAAAACTTCGATGGAGTGCCGGATGGTGAAGTCATGGTCGGCTGAGGGCACCAGATGACTCAAGTTCGTCTCTAGATGGTACAAGCCGGCCATGAGCTGAAGATACATCGTCCAAGGGCGAGCTTGAAGCAGCTACATAAAGGCTGTGAGTTAGTAGTGGATATCAGATTCGAGACGGTTGTACGCGTGAGATATGGGTAGCCGATCCGCATATGGTGAAGCTATGCTTTTTCGAAACTTACACATAGACTACAGAGAAGCAAGCCAGCAGAGACGGTGGATCCATCGAAGGAGTTGTGTCGGCTTTCTAATTCCGATCGGAAAGTCTGGAGCGCGTGATCGACGTATTCCATTGACGAGACTGAGAAACCGTCGTCTAGGTAGGCTTGGATAGCCCCACAGACGATGGCAAATGCTTGGCTTTTCTCTGCCATTGAGACGAAGTGAGATTTCATCCAACCAGAGCTCTCAGTGGTGTAGAGTCGGTGCATCCCCGCGTTGAGAACTTGTGACATGGTCAGTACTCGAATACCTATACGCGACAGAGCCAAGCGGCGAATGACTTACATTTCTGGAAAAGCTGCCGTTTCGGGTCATTGGTGCCGCCGGGCGATGGTGCCAAATATGAGATTTCAGAGTGCGACCCCGGTGTATCTGATTCCTGAGCGGCCCCGGGGAGCTTCGGTGTATCGGCTCCGGGAGATGCTGAGGGTGATCCAGTGTGGTGTAGTGGATCCCCAGCGTTCGGCAGATAGCTATCAAAAGTAGTTGAATTGGCGCTCGCTTTGTTCGCGGCAAGGTCAGGGATTGCGGCCCCAGCAAACCGACCCCGCGAGGCTATTCCGTTGGTCCACTTGAGTGTGGTGTTATAGCCCTCGCACTGGATGCCACGCCTTTGGCATGCTCGGCAATCTGGACGCGTCTCGTCGCATTTCCGTTTCCGCCTCTTACAATTGGAGCATCCTCCCCTAGAGCGACCCATCGATGACCTACTGATGGCTGTCGAGTGAGGTCAGCGTAATCGTTATCTGTTCAAGCCTTGCAGTTGACTGCTCAGCGGAGTTCTCGAAATGGCCGACCTTGCCGACGATGAATGAAGAATTGAGATTTCAACTTCCCAAGAAAGGCAGACGGGGCCGCGAGCGCATATATATGCCGAATAGGGCATGGCTCAGACGCTCGATTTTGGGGCCCAAGCAATCATGTTGCAGCTTCATAAATGCGGGGGCGAGGACGCTAAGACAAATAGAGTTCTCTGTTATCCATGCGGAATGCCCTCGGAAAGAAAGGGATGAGGGTCCAGCAGGGATATTACTTGCCAGTACATGGCGACAAGACCTCGTCAGACTTGCTGGTTGGTGTACACTCTCAGGGACTGTAATCAAGTCCCCAGTCCTGATATCACAACGGTATTGGTCATTCTCGCCATGGTCTTCATCGTCTTCGATTGCGACCGGGGCTTTCGAAGATTATCATCCTGATCTAAACATGGTGCAGGTGCTTCAGTCTCCTATGACTGAAAAGGATAAACCTGGGCACGTGGCTTATCGTGGCACACGCCAAAGTCCCAGCTGTCGCACAACGTCGAGTGGTGTCCAGGCCGACATAGAAGTCTCCTGAGAAGTTCAATTCACCTTTGTATTTTATCTTAAATGCTGGTTGCCTGCTCGACGCGTTGCTGTGTCTGCATCAAATGCGACAATATTCTAGGCTGGTTCCTTAACTCAACAGCACCTCACCACATCTAGCCCATAAGCCCACTATTGTTTGTGTCTCTTTCTGCTCTCGCCTCAACGCTGTGGTAGAGAGTTCCCGATGGACGGCTCAGCGGTGACAATGGCTCAACATACACCCCTTCCTCCGGGAACAGTTCACTTGCTCAATTGTATACCTCCTACTCGAAGTCTTTGAAGTCGTGTGCTGACGTCTGCATTCTACCCCCAGATGAGGACGCTACAGAGTCCCCAACATTTGTTCTATCCCCTACTCCATCGTCAGACCCGAACGACCCACTGGTACGTATTCTGCTGTTTGCGATGCTTCGTTAATGACATCTTCTTACTCTTTGAATGCGTGAAATAGAACTGGAGCAAATGGAGAAAGTATCTTAACTACAGTCTTGCCATGGGCGTCACCGTGGCCGCTTTCACCAAGTACGTTGAAGTCACATCGGTTTTCCAATCCATCTGGTGCCCTTCGCGGACCAACTCCCCAGCTGACGATTTGGTTGCCTTCCCTCCATAGCCTCTCGATCCAGACCGTCTTCTGGCAACAGATGACCGTTGATCTCGATGTGTCTATCAACCAACTCAGCAACGCACAGTCCGCTCAGCTTGCAGGTCTTGCCACAGGCTGCATTTTCTTCATTCCGTTCACGATCAAGTATGGTCGTCGCTTGACGTACTTAGTTTCCACAGCGATCCTTGCTGCAGCAGCGTGGTGGACATCTTCAATGCATTCATACGCAGAACTTATTGCCACAGCTGTTATCACGGGACTAGCTGGCGCTATAAACGAGACTGCGGTGCAAATGACTGTAATACTCATCATAATCCCCTGGTCTTATCTCGCCTTTTCGCTAATGATTCTTTCCTGCAACAGATTGCCGATATCTTCTTCGTTCACCAGCGAGGCTCTGCCAACGGTCTCTACTTTACTGCCGTAATGGCAGGAAGCTTTTTGACGCCTTTGGCTGCCGGCTCCCAAGCCGTGACTCAGGGATGGCGCTGGTCATACTACGCCCTCTCTATCTCTCTGACCGTTCTCTTCTTCATATTTGTTTTCTTGTATGAAGAGACTAAATATGTTCCCATAAGCCTCGGCGAAAGCGAGCTTACAGACGACAACTCACCGATGGGCGAGAATGATATGGCAAAAGTCAGAAGCCTTGATAAAGGCGGTCTGGAGCTGAACTACATGCGGTCCAATCCCGCTACGAATATCCCAATGAATTCTTACCGCGAACGCATGCGATTATTGACACCAACCTCGGAATCCTTACTGCGAGTTTTTATCTTGCCACTTCATGTCATTACTCTTCCGCACGTCATGTTCACTGCTCTTCAGTTTGCATCCGGTGTTTGCTGGCTGGTACTGTTCATGTCGGTTGTATCCGTCGTCTTTTCTGCGCCCCCCTACAATTTCAACACTGCAGCAATCGGATACATGAACCTCGGACCTTTTGTTGGAAACATTTTCGGCAGTATTTACGGTGGACCTTTAGCAGACTGGACAGTTTTGCGCTTGGCTAAGAGGAACGGGGGCGTTTTCGAGCCGGAAATGCGCCTGTATCCCTTATTTCTACCCGTGATCACGATGGCTGGTGGTATTGTCATGTTTGGAGTCACCGCGGATCGTGTAAGTCCCTTTTGTGCCACATTTCTTCCATTGCTCCATCGACTGGTTAAAGTAACAGCTCTAGGGAATGCATTGGATCTTCCCTAGCATCGGCGGCGCACTATTCGCATTTGGCCTCGGTGCAAATGGAGACATCACCTTTACATTTGTTATTGATACTTATCGAGAGGTAAATGCATCAATATTCGATTTAATGACTTTGACTAACATATAGTTCCACAGCTGACTGCCGAAGCCTTTGTCGGTGTCGCATTTGTTCGTAATGCTGTCAGCGTAGGTGTCCCTTCGGCGCTTGTGCCCTGGATGTCAAACATGGGCCTTACCAATATGTACATTCTGAGCGGGGTTATTTCTCTTCTCATCGGTCTTTTGTATGTTCCTATGATCATCTGGGGCAAGCGCATTCGCACCATTCTGGCTCCCCGATACTTGCGACTTGTGGAGAGGCGCATGCAGATTTAGTGTGTTGAGTACGTATATCTTATTTTGCCAGCCTGACCAGAGGTTTACTTATTTGTACGAATTATGACACCACTCCTGAGTATAGCAAGAATTCAGGTTCCGTCTTTCAAGTAGTTATAGAATACTTCTGCATTTTAAATTGTTCAACTTGGCTGGGCTCGTCGTGGTTGACCTGGTGTTGACCTGGTGTCTTACTACGTTTGCAGCTATGAGATAAGTCGAAGCCTTGTTTGCCTGCTGGAAACATCTAGTGGCTAGATCCACAATTCTGCACACTATCCTGGTCAAAGCTTTTCTGCCGCTACGCCAGGGAAGTTTGTGAGTCGATAGCAGTCGATGATAGGGCGCCCCTCGAACATGGTCATTACCCCGAGTGCTACCACAGCGTTCATCCAGTCGTAAGGGCTTCCCCCTGGTGCTTCAAACCTGATGTGCGTGAAGTACTCAACGTCATCCTGACTGATTGAAGATCGAGGCGATTTGTCTGTTTGACCAGGGCCAGTGCGGAAAACACCCTGGGCGTTGACGAGGATGAAGATACCGTCATCAGTCTGAAGAGTATACATGGCATGCAACCTTGAGAACGCCTAGGGAGCGGTAAGCCGTATGAACTTCCTTTCATGAGTGACTTGTTTGCACTGTGCTAACCTTGTCAGGCCTAATGCGCTCGGCCCAATCTGCACCACTTCTCTCCACAATCTTGCCCGTGATCCTAGGGCCTTTGACTGACCCGCTCAAGATAGGCAGAACAAGACGAGTGACGCCCGTGTTATCAACGTTTGCAATTTCGGACACGTTGGGGTCCATGTCGCAGACGATACGATAGATGAAGTCGAGATGTGGCATGCGCATGGGTGGCACAGCGACTCCACTTGGCGAGAATGCGTTTCCGGGGGAGGGGGCATGATCGGAGCTTCTCGCGGGTGCCATGACTAGGATGTAAGTTGAGCGCGGGTCGACCTGCCGAATGTATCCTGGATCGAAGTCAGTAGACGGAGAATCGAACTGTGAATGGCTTTTGGTATTGGCACGACGTGCTGGGACATGTGCCGAATGCTCGAGGCGGAGTTTTAAATAGTTCTTCACAATCAATGTATTCGCAGGTTGATAAGAAGGGGGTGTTTGTTAGGCAATTGTTGCAGAGTCGAAAGAGCTGTCACCCATGCATCTCCCGAGCGCAGATGCCGACTCCTCCGAATTATAAGCCTAAGTACGCATCACACTTTCGACTCCCCGGCAGCCGACGGCATCGGCAACTCTGCCAGCCTAAATCTGGCGGCATCTCCTTCCATATTGGGCCATTGGACGCGCCAACAAGCCGCCCGGGATGCGTGCCATCGTCCGTAAGTCCGGCGACGTTTCTAGCATCAAGGTGCATTGGGGTTGAAAAGAAGACAACACAGTCCAGTTTTCTCTTTTGTCTCTTGCCCTTGGTCCACTCGACTATCGCATCCAGTTCTAAAGAATAGCTCATGCAACCTACGAAACCTCTTTCTTCCACGATCCCTTCGGAACCTATAAGACGTAGTATCAATGCCCGCGGCAATGGAATGGGAGGCAATTGCTTCCCGCCACCGATCGGAGCAACAGCGGAACATACCTCAGGAATGGATAATCTCTGATGATCAGCTAGCTAAGCTTCGAGGCAAGGGAACTGCCGAAGAAGGTCGACTAATAGCCCAAGATGTTGCTCGGAAATCAGCGTTATTGACGGAAAAGGAACTCGACATCACAGAGTGCTACAACGCGCGAGAGTTACTCGACAAGATTCACCACAAGAAACTCACATCGGAAGAAGTGGCAGTGGCGTTTTGCAAGCGCGCTGCTCTCGCTCAACAGCTTGTAAGGGCATTTTCCATCCCGCTCCGTCACCGTAGGCTGTTGCCGAGCTTCCGAACGCCGTAGTACATGGACTGACATCTTCTAGACTTCTTGCTTAACTGAAATATTCTTCGATGAAGGAATCAAGAGGGCTCGAGAACTTGACCAGCACCTAGAGCGTACTGGAGAGCTCTTAGGACCACTGCACGGCCTACCAATTAGCCTCAAGGTATCCCCATCCGGAAACCTTGTCCGCCTGTTTAGCCTGTAGAACTGATGGATGTAGGATTCTTTCGTCGTTAAAGGCCATTACGCTACTGTCGGTTATGTCGAGTTTTTGAAAAGGCCACTGCCTACTTCTAATTCGGCGATGGTCGATCTCCTATTGGACGCTGGAGCCGTCCTATTCTGTAAAACGAACGTTCCGCAGACCATGATGGTTCGTGACCTGCTGATCTGCATTGATCAAGAGTTTTGGTCGAGTGTATATTGACGAGACTTAAATAGACTGCTGACTCGGAGAACAACATTTTCGGTCGAACTTTGAATCCGCACAAGACGATTCTCACCGCCGGCGGTTCAACCGGTGGTGAGGGAGCTCTTGTAGCATTCAGAGGCTCAGTATTAGGCGTTGGCTCCGATATTGCAGGATCAATCCGGATCCCCTCACTTTGTTGCGGCATTTATGGCTTCAAGCCCACAGCGGATCGAACGCCGTTTGGAGGGCAAGCTAACTATCCCTTCCGCAAACTCCAGCTTCCCGGAGTCACCCCTGTTGCTGGGCCGATGGCAAATTCAGTTGATGATCTCAGTTTGTTCATGGAAACAGTGATCGGTCGTCGGCCTTGGCATTATGACGCATCTGCAGTCAACGCCCCCTGGAGAAGCTCCTATGGAAGCAGCAAGGTCCTGACCATCGGTATCCTTCCCGAAGATCCGGAATATCCCTTGCAGCCGCCTGTTCGACGATCGCTTCAAGACGCAGTCTCAAAATTGACTGTCGCAGGGCACAGTATCGTCAAATTACCAGCAAACCCCGCTTGTAGTGCCAGTGTTGGTGGAAAGCTAGGATTCCATTACTTCGGGCTAGGATCTTCCGGTCTGGATGCCCTGGCGAGTGAGATTGGTGAACCACTGGTACATTCAGTGAAACGAGGCGTTCATCCTTTCACAACTTCAAAGCCTCTTATTTCAACGGAGCTAGACACAGTACACCAACTAGATGAGTTCCTTGGCTTACAGGCTTCTTATGCCAACAGCTGGAAGAACGTCTGGACCGAGTATCATCTCGATGTTGTCGTCGGCCCCGGAGCAATCAGCACCGCGGTCCCCCACGATACCTATGGCATCCCTGTCTACACCTTGATGTGGAATGTGCTAGACGTAAGCCAGTGCAGTCACCTCTCTGTAGCCAACAATTCAACTAACTGTGGGGGGGCAGTATCCAGCAGGGATAATACCATATGGGGTATCCTCCAAGACGAGAGATCCCAACTACCAGAAAGCGGCCTCGAATTTTGAAGCGGACTGTAAGTACTGCGCGTTCTAATTCTGCTGTTCTTCTCATGCCTGGTGCTAACCCGAACACAGATGATCCGGAAGCAACCGACGGCGCCCCGTGTTCGCTTCAAGTCGTTGCTCCTCGATTTTACGATGAAGAGTGTTTGAACGCCATGAGAATCATTGACAGAGACATACAAGCATGAAAGTGAGCGATGAATGTGCGGGATACTTGTATTCTTTCTGTAGAGACACGAAATATGAAATCCTTTCTCAAGTGCTTTGTGATGATCCAAGGGTTTCCTCGGCGGCAGTGTCACCACCACCACCACAGCCAATACCATGGCGCTGACGGAATTTTTCTAGCCATTCGGGATTGTCTGCAACAGTCTGATTCCATTCGTCGTCGCAGTCATAAATCACACGCCTCGACTCTTGTCTAAGCATTTCGTCTGTGATGTCGAACCCTTGAGAAAGGTGCTCCTTTGCAAAATGCCTCAAATGTTGCTCTAGGATCTCTGTGAAAGCTTTTGACGTTGCTGCTCTGGAGCTGAGGATTGATTCTGACTGTAAAGACGTCGCAGTATATATTGCAGCGGTCTTCTTTCCATTTTCTTGTTGTGACTCAAGTGTGCGAGACGATATCTGAGCAAAATGGTCTCTGGTGCTCTGATTTGTGACTGAGAATGGGACAACACTCAGCGACTCTGAACCTATCAGATAGGGAGGCAGGGCATGCACGACCTGCTGCGCAACTGTTGGACTGAATCCGTGTTCTCCCTTCCAGTCTTTCATCATTGCACCATGACGAAAGTGGTTGGCGAGATGGTCAACGCGTTTGTTCCAGGTCATGAACTCCATGTCACAGAACCCGCATCGAGAAGAGATCCGTACAGCTTCGGCCTTCCATCCATCGAATCGAGGCATTATGTCTAGTTTGTGCATAACGCGGAGGTGTTGAACAAGATGGTCTTTCCTGCCAAATGATCGTGCTTCTATCGGTCGCTCGTAACATGCTTTATGGTTGTGACCATCAAGATGTTCTTCTGACGGGTCTACCTCGCTGCAGTACGCACAATGAGGTCTACCAGTCACTGTAGACATAACCGAACCTCCCCGCGGTGCGCAAATCCACGACTCCAGGTTAAGATGCCTCGATTTCTCGTGCCGAGCCCAATCATATTTAGTTTTGAAGCTATCACAGCAGAATGTGCATTTGAAGGGGCGATCGTCTTTCTTAGAAGCGGCGGTTGCGCGTTTCTTAGACACTCTTCCCCGCCTGGTGCGATCAAGTAAACTTGATTCTTTCTGTCGACCTCTTGACGTGTCTGATGCTGCTGACCACACTGAGTTTGCCGACTGTATAGATGAACTGCTCTCGCCACTGCCCAAGCTGGCTTTGGATTCAGTGCGCGCATAATCAGCCACATTCGGTGCTCGACTGACTTCGAGGCGAGCGGTACTATTCTTCAGCGCGTCATGTATGGCAGTGATCGAGGCTGGTTCGTCTTGCGGGGGAGACTTCCTCCATCGTTGCATAGGACTCAATTCCCCAACGCTTGTAGATACAGGAATCGGTATTGGGTTTGCCTGCTCCTCGGAATGCACAAATCGATAACGACTCCGTCTTCTTGGGAGGCTTTTATGGGCGTTGAATACAGTTTGGCCAACAAGCTCATCATTGGAGGGGATCGGCCAGTTAACGTGGTTTGACGTTGTAGCCGGAGACTGCAGAGACCACGAAATATCGCCAAGCGCATAATTCGGATCCACCACCTCACTGCTTCCATCATATATCCAGGATATCGGTGTCTCTTGGGTATCGCAATCAGGCGTGGAAAACATCGAAGGCCAAATCTGGCTCGAGGTGCCAATCGGGAGGCTATCATCCAACGGAGCGCATCCGGGGTCCAGACCCGACCATGCAGTCAGAGAGGGCGGCCCGAAGGTCCCCCCTGTCACGGGTTGAGTTATTGCAAGTCTGTCCCGCGTATCGGGCTGAGGGTGATTCAAAGTTACTTGCTCTGTGACAGCATTCATAGGTCGTGCGGATATAAGGCCTCCCTGATATGTCAGAGCGACTTCACCGTCCTGACCACCGGTGACTTGGGGCATGAGTCTGGGGCGAGTCCCATTGGGCGATGAGCGTGGGGAGTTCGGCATCCTATCGACATGGCATGATGTGCAACGGGAGGAAAGATGGCATGCACACAGCCATGTCAAAAATCCTCCATTTGCCCTGCTTACCTGAGTGAGAGCCTCTTACGTGTGGAGATTGATAAGCGCAAAATCTATGGACTTCACGCCCTAGGGCGCAACAAAGTTACGGCGGGGACCTATGAAGAGACACGTGACACTCGCAGGTGGACACAGCATAAACTTTGGCTTGATGTTGGAGTCAGGAGCCCCCTAATTTTCTGCTAAGTTGCTAAGTAACATTACTGGCTAGTATGATGCTGGCAGTTGTGGAAGCCTCTTGATGACAAGTGCTGGAATGTGTATCAAGGGCCAAAATCACAGGTGCGATTTCTTCTCGTGCCTATTGCACTTTCTGATGTTACCAGCCTCAACAAATCTATCTTTGGGCGATTTAGGCTCGTCGTGCGACCCTCACATGCAAGTGGCTATGAATGAAGAATGGTACGTCCGAAGAATTCCAACAGCCTGTAAGGTCCAAGAAGGGTAAATACAACTTCCAGGACATCAACTATGATTGATGAAACCATTTTCAGTTGGTAAAGCGCTCGCCCTCGTCAAGTTGAACACGAAAAACTCGAAAAATGTTCTAGCCAGACCTAGGTACCTCAACAACAACTTCGTTCAACTCAATCATGGCAAAGCTTTTCCTCAAACACTCATATCAACTTCCAAAGACAAAGTCCATCATAACCTGCCGGTCCAATACTTCAGCCGCCATCTCTCTGGGGGAATAGAAACTCATCATATTAGTTCAAAAAGACCTACGTCCTGTCCAAGAACCTCTTTGCTTCTCGTAATGGTCCAAGGTGCCCATGCGACGTTGGCTTCTGGGGAAATGTGAATTCCACAGACTTGTTCGTCTTGTTCGGAGACCGTGGGCAGCAAAGCTGTCGCAGGTGGCCGTAACCTATAGCCTTTCCTAATGAGTGCCTAGAGATACCGAGGTTTTCTTGCTTCAATATCAGGAACGGGCGATGATGATGCCTGTGTCTATTTCGGCCTGCAGGTGAGCAGATACTACTTTGCGTGAGGAAACATAATCAAGAACAGCATCGTAGAAGATCCTGCTGGTCTAGTGCTTCTCCTTCCGCATCTTCCTTCTCGAAGCCATGAGCAACAAATAAGCCTAAGATGTCGCGTTCTACGACCAGTTGCTCGTCATATCGTCCCTGTAAGGTATGGTGTTGTGAATCATTTGTCATGACAGTCCCAATTCCAGTCATGTTCTTAGCATCTGGCGTGAAAAGTTTGAACATTGAGGAATGTAAGAGTTCGAGAAGCAAAGGCGTCAGCGCCGTTTTTTTCTGTTGTCTCGACATGGGTGTCGCGAAATTTGTCATCGTCGGCCTCCAAGTGGCCAAAGTCAGCCCCAGACACCAAGGCCAATACAACATTCAGAGTAAAGGATTGGGCCTTGCGTGCCAGATCGATGGTCTTGGATGTGGTATTGATGGAGAGATGATCAGTCTCTGACAAGTTGATAAGTTTGGGAACTCGTTCATTGATAAGCTCCTGTGCACCATCAACATCCTTCCCCGGATAGCCAACTGCGAACCTGGACCCCAAGGCTTCGGGCAGCTTGTCATCAAGGGTAGAAGTGGTGCTGTCTCCATAGGAGTCTATACACAGACCCCGAAAGCAATGACCTCGCTTCTACGCCGAGCGAGTCGCCCAAAGGCGACGCAGCTCACTGCTGTCGCCGCAGACAACCCAGCTTGGCGACGATGCAGATAGACAGTCAAAATCAGATATCCATAAGTTGCCACTGTGGTCGAGAAGCATGTCATAATTAGACAGGATCTATAATTCGGTCCGGAAGGCCCGGACAAGCCAGAGCAATCGATTAATAGAAAAGCACAAGGTGCCGCAGAAGATGCAGCAGTGCCGAGGGGTGACGGGTCCGAAGGAGGGCTAAGAGACGAAATCTACACGATTGGCGTTACCAACTGGAGAGGTGATGGACGAGTTCAGACCCAAAGCCTGGCTGATGATAAGTCGCGAGAGGTCGTTCAACGGGTGTTTTCCCTCCTGTTTCGACGTTACATAACAGAAGTTGGGTGATCTAAACTCTCAGACTTGGTAGGCAAAGGCTCTGGACACCCCGATCAAGAATAAGCATTCGTTCGGACAACTTGAGCTTCTTCGTAGGCCAGGCTCTGCCGTTCATGGAGGAAATATACCAAAGCTTACAATGCAGCCCATGACTGGCATGACTCAATAACTATAGAAAAGCACAGCGTCGACCCCGCACCTCCAGAGGTCAATTAACTGGATGCTTTCGATTTTGACCAGATGAAACGGCCAAATATACCTTTCCGAATTCACGTTGTTGTGGGCAGTCGCCGCTGATCGGGTGCATCCTATCAACGTTGACCTCTTTCGCTCTCCCACAGATATGCTCCGCAACATCCCCCGGTTCAGTGGCCCTGGGACGGCAACATTGAACTCAACAGCCGCGGTATTTAAGGTGAACTAAGGCCAAGACTTAAGAATTTTCGTATGGAGTACAGTCGCAGCGGTTCAAATACCGTAGCTCAGGAATCGCGGATTGCCTTGAGGCCTGGCGAGGGATCCTGGCCCTTCTGATGGCTCAGCTACGGACAACTGTAGGTAGACGACTGAGACGTTTAAGTGCGTGCTGCAGACACCTAGGTCTAGCGGGACTGGGCAATGAACACACATACGAAGTCAATACTTTTTGTCTGGTCCTTGCGAAGCGCGCGGGGTTCGGCGGGGTTACGAGCATGTCTCGTCCGGGCACCCACCAGACTTCTAATGAATGCGACCGAACAATTATGAGTCACTTGCGCTTGACAGATGGATTTCAACCATTTTGGAAATGAGAAAGACACTTTTTCTTGCCAGCTTGGTGTTTTCTCATCAAATAAATGTCGGAAGGTGGGATAAAAACGATGGCACTAATACTGCATTCACTGACCTAAAATATCGTCAGTCCTTTGGAGCCGTTGTCTTTCCCATTCTCCTTTTGAAGCTCTCTCCTCACTTCGATACTCTCCTACCGGGTCTAATTCTTTGACCATGCAGCTAATTGTTAACTCGCCCAAACCTGCCTTGATGTACTAGATGGAAGGTCCTAGCATCGCGTCCCAACGACAGCTGCAGAAATATCATACACGTCTGCATGCCTCACATATCCACACAGCACTGTGCCCACGACCTTTGGCAAAAGAATTAGATGGAATGGCTTGGAGATCATGTTCCATCACAAACAATGGAATACTACTGTTTTGGGGAGATTCCATGATCCTCGCTTTTCAATAAGTAAGTAAGGTTTCCTGCATTTTATCCTCGGTTAACCATACTTCAACATACGGCAACAGTAGGATGCTTCGCCCTGGACTAAGAATTCTTTCAAATCGAATCTTTGAGAAAAGCAGTCTTCAACGCAGATCGCTCCTCCTAACCATGGTTCGTCTGATTGATAGAAATATCATAGGCTTGAAACAGCCAAGATTTTGATCTCGCGGACGAAATGCCTACCCCATGTCCTCCGACAAGTACTGAGTCATACTCGAAAGGGAGAGATACTTGCCATTGTAGTCTTGTCAACATTGTCACACACTGAGGCTTTAGATAACTGATTCCTGGGTTTGGAGGACCGTTTATGCAGGTGATATTTTGATTCGATAGTCACACCTCTATCCAATGGTGCTTTCCTTTGCATCCGCTCTCTCCGTGTGAGATCAGCACCCAAGCTTCTGCATCAAGAATATTTGGCTTGGCGCCGAATTCCATATACTGTATTACGGACTTTTCAATCAAGCCAGTCGACCTGACTCTGGGACTTGATATGTAGGCAAGTGTGGGGCAGGGTACGACACAACTTTCCGATTTATCCCGCAAGCCTCAACGAAGTAATCAAATTATTGGATTTCCTCCCTAGAAACCCAAGGCACTGTTGAACATGGTCGCAGCAGAAGCATCTTTGACGCCTGCCGCAGAGACCTGAGCCTTGGCCCGCTGACACTGGTCTTTTGCAGCCTGAGTCGCCTCACATACGTTGGTGAGCTGATCGCAAATTCGGTTCGTAATAATGTTTGGATTCAGCGCGTCTTGTTGACCCTTGGCTACGAGAGGGTCAGTTGGTAAGAAAGTGCCTTGATCCGGCTTGCGCCCAGTACGGCCCAGTTGAAAATCCATTGTTGGCGTGCATTTGCCGAAATCAATCCCGTCAGCCTGTCGCCGAATGGTGGCAGCCGATGCGCCAGATGTGCCGAATAGTACAAAAAGAGCCTTGGTGGGTCGCATGTTGCAGGTTGTTGGACTATAATTGACACTTCTTCTCGAAAATTAACACGAGTGAGAGCGATGGTGGAAATGTAGAAATGGTTCAGCTTCTTGAGAAAAAAAGAAAGTCTCGGGTGTTGCTTTGCGGAGCGGATGATGTTGAAACGGGGTTCACAGAACCTTGAAAACGAATTGAGTTCAACCCACTGATGAAAACAAAGATATTAGGGTATTCAGAACCACATCACTCTGGCAATATTCGACGGATCGATCTCTTTTGTAACTTGTAGTCATGTCGTGACTTACTAAGACGATGGAAGCTCAGACTACCTTATCATGAGGCAGATGGCGATCAACAAAGTGCCTCCGGCTCTTCGGATGGTTTAAGATCAGACGGGAGTGTTTGAGGTTGGACCTTGAAGAACCAAGCATATGGCACATCAATCACAAGATCATCAATATGATTGGACTATAAGATCGACATACCCTACAAGATATTGGGGCTTCCCTGCAAGAATCGGACGGCATGACATGAGATGATGCACAGGAGACAGTTGAGGCACAAAATGGGAACAATGACGAAACCGCAACTCCGTCACCGACGTCGCAACCAACTGGAACCCTTATCGTGTTCCATCCTTCATCGTGAATGGCACTCGAAAATTGCCAGGAATCGCGAGAACAGGAAAACTTCCCTTGATACAGCGAACGAGCGT